CCCCAAGTGGTGCAGGCCCAGCCACGGCCTCCCCGAGCAGAGCCCAGAGGGGCAGATGCCCTTTGCTGGCCCTGCCCCTGTCCCAGCTGGGCACACCGTGTCCTCCCGCATCAGCCGGGCCCCGCTCTGCTCAGCTGGCCCAGGCAGGGGGGGGCCAGGCACTGGCAGCCCAGCAGGGCTCTGGCTCCACACTGGGCTGGCCCTGGCACACAGCTGCCCCAGTGCCCCTGTCCCCAGGGATGGCCCTGCCCTGCCCTGGGCCCAGCGCTGGCCCTCAGCAGGATGGCACCTTCCCGCCCCACTCTCCCTCCCTCCCCACCCGCCTCACAGGCCCCTCTGGGCTGGGACCCCCGTGGGCACAGATCAAGGACAGGCACTGAGCGGGGGCTCCCGCCACCTGCCACAGCCTCAATTCTCCACTCACCTTTGGCCACGTTTCCACAACACCTTCCATCCTTACGGGTCCCTGACCAGACACAAGAGACCATTGTGGGGCAGCTGGGAAAACATCTCAGCTCAATGACTTGACTATTTGCCTTGCATTTTCCCCAGGAGCCGGCAGTGACCTGGAAGATTTTCCTTTTGCCCTTTTCTGCTTCGTGCCTCGTTTGTTGGATAATTGAGGAACATTGACAGAGGAGGGGCCCAGGGGAGCTGAAGCCTCTCAAGAGGGAGGCATTTACAGCCCCTCAACACCAATGATCCCACTCTGGATCATCCAAATTGTGACATCAGCAGCTCATTGGAAGAGGGAAATGTCCCCAGTTTGGTGTTTGAGAGAGAGATGGACGAGAGACGTGAGCAGGGTGCCTGAGGTGCAGCTGATCCCCCCTGGACTGTCTCCTTCCTTCCCTCTGAGCAGGGCCGGGAGCACCTGGGGAAATTCCTCTTGTTCCTGCAGTCCCTGCTGTGGGACATCACATACTCCTCTATGACATCACATCCATCATATGACATCACATCTCTCCTCTGACATCATATCCTTCCCCGTGACATCACATCCTACTCTGTGACATCACAGCCTTTCTATGACATCCCATCAATCGTATGACATCACATCTCTCCTGTGACATCACATCCTTCCTCTGTTACATCACAGCTCCTCTAGGATGTTGCATCCATCATATGACATTATATCTATCTTTGACAACACATCCTTCCTGTGAGAACACATCCTCTGCATGACATCTCATCCTTCCTTTGTGACATCACATCCTCCCCGTGACATCACATCCTTCCTATGACATCACATCCTTCCTATGACATCACATCCATCATATGACATCGCGTCCTCCTCTGTGACATCACATCCATCATATGACATCACATCCTTCCTGTGACATCACATCCTTCTGTGTAACATCACATCCTCCTCTGTGACATCACTTCCTCTGTCTGTGACATCACACCCATCATATGACATCACATACATCTCTCTGGTGACATCACATCCTCCTCTGCATGACATCACATCCTTCCTAAGACATCACATCCATCAGATGACATCACATTCTTCCTGTGATATCTCATCCTTCTTCTGTGACATCACATTCTTCCTGTAACATCACATCATTCTTCTGTGGAATCACATTATTCCTGTGATATCACATCCTCCTCTGTGCCATCAAATCTCAACTATGACATCACAGCTCCCCTGTGATATTACATCCATCATATGACATCACATCTCACCTATGACATCACATCGCACCTATGACATCATATCTCTCCAGTGACATCACATCCACATTATGAGGTTGGACAAGACCAAGGTGGTGCAGCCGGGTCAGGGCAACCCCCGGGATCGGTGCAGGCTGGGGGAGGAAGGGATGGAAGAACCTGCTGGGAGAGGGCTCTGGGGATGCTGGTGGGTGACAAATGGGACACGAGCCAGCCCGGAAACATCTCCTTCTGTGACATCACATCCTCCACTGTGACATCACATTCTCCGCTGTGACATCTCATCCTCCCTCTGATGTCACATCATCCCTGTGACATCACATCCTCCTCTGTGAGATCCTGATGTCCTCGGCTTCCCAGAGTCCCTCAGTAGCTACACGAGGTTGGAAGGAACGAGACTCAGCAGGAGGTCTCTGTCCTGTTGTCCTGGTTTTGACTGGGATAATGGACTGGTTTCCAGCCACTGCCCACCACAGGGACTTGCCTTGTCTCAGCACAGAATCCTGGAATCATGCACTGGTTTGGGCCCCAAAGAACCAGAGCCCTGCTGGGCTGCCAGTCCCTGCCCCCCCCCGCCTGGGCCAGCTGAGCAGAGCGGGGCCCGGCTGATGCGGGAGGACACGGTGTGCCCAGCTGGGACAGGGGCAGGGCCAGCAAAGGGCATCTGCCCCTCTGGGCTCTGCTCGGGGAGGCCGTGGCTGGGCCTGCACCACTTGGGGGCTGCAGTGCCCGCAAATGGGCTGGAGCCGGGCACTGCCACCACCCCAGCACTTCCCTGGGCCCAGCCCTTGTGTGCCAGGGCCAGCATTGCCCAGTGCTCCCCAGTGCCTGCCCAGACTGGAGATCCCAGTCACCCGCCTGTGCCCATTGCCCATCAACCCCTTTATCTTCCAGTTCCCTGTTTCCGTCATCCCAGGGTCCTGGTGCCCCAAGAAGGGGGTCACTGCCAGCCCTGCGTTCAGCCAAGGGGCTGGAGTGGGAACAGGGACAATTGTGCTCGGATACGCCGGGTGTGGGGCTGGGCTGAGCTCTGGGGTGTCCCAGAGGGAAAGCTCTGGGAAGGGATGGGCAGGAGCACATGAGTGGATCAGGCTTTGAGGACTGTCTGAGGATGGATTGTGTTGTGTGGGATTGTCCCCACAGGGTATGCAGCTGCTTTCAGCTCCCTGCCCACCCCCTTGGCACCCCCAGGGGCCTGGGCCCTTCCAGGGGCAGCTGCCCCGTGCAGGAAGCTGGAGGGATGCCGGGGAAGGTGGCTGGATGGGTGCCGCAGGCGGGATGGACTCTGTGCCAGGGCTGGGCTTGTGGCCAGGGCTGGGGGCTGTGCCCAGCCGGGCTTTGCCCCGGGGGCTCTCGGGGAGGGGGCAGGGAGGAGTCCCGGCAGGGATAAATGTGCTCCTGCCCTTGTGCAGCCTCAGCCAGTGCTGCCCAGGCCCAGAGGAAGATGAAGGTCGCTGTGCTCAGCGTGGCCCTGCTCTTCACCATCCTGCTGAGCCCCCCGGCAGATGCCAAGGTGAGGCCCCCATGCCACGGCCATGGGCTCAGGGATGGGCCCCTTCCTGATCCAGGGGCTCCCCCAGAACTCCCCCGCACCCCCAGCCCCGGGCCAGGCCACTTTCTTCTGGCCACAATTCCCTCTCTCCTTCCCCTTCCCACAATTCAACTCCTGCTGCTGCAGCTCCGCTTCCTCACGGGATGCTTGCACCCGGCTCCGTCCTGGCACAGTCCCAACGCTTCCTGCTCTTTCTGACCCCAAATCCCACCTTTTTGGGCCTCCCCATCCCATCCTCTTGGTCCCCTGGGGCATCTCCCCACCATCTCCTCTCTTTCCCAGCCAAGGCAAAGGCCCAACCCAAACTGGGTGGAACTGGGCCAAGCCCCACTGGAGTCCAAGGAGGACAAACAGGCCCAAGCTCCACCCTGGGCTCAAGTGGGACAAGGCCTGGCCAGGCTGAACTGGCACCAACTGGGAAATGCCCTGCCATGGCCCCTTCCCAGGGCCTTTCCTCCAGGCTTTGCCCTCAATGCCTTGCCTTTCCCCCTGCACTGGTGTCCCCAACTTGCCTGGGAACCACAATCCCAAAGAGCCCCGCTCAGCCCAGGGGGCAGCCGGGGCTGCAGGGGGTGGGGACACCCGTGTCCCCCCCAGCCCCACAAGGCCAACCCCAACCAAGCCTTTGTTCTCCTCCTGCAGCCCTTTGAGTCCAGCGGCGCTTTCTGTGAAGGGGTAAGTCTGGGAGTTGGGGGGCACCCAGTGTGGGAAGTGGGGGCACTTTGGGCCCCCCATCCCTTCCTGGCACTGGGGACACCCCAGTGACCAGTGACATCTCCTTGTCTCTCTACAGGGAGGCGTCAGCGGCGGCCCGGTGGGTACCAGGGCTTGTGCTGGGCCCAGACCCTCCCCTCTGGTGGCCACCACCCTCCAGGCCATCCCAGTGCTCCCCAGTCCACCCCAGGGTGCACCAGGGAGGCCCTTCCTCAGGGTCCCCACTCTATTCCCACACACCCCAGTCCACCCCACCACACACACACAGGGCATCATTCCCACACCATTTCTTCCCCTCTTTCTCCTCTAATCCTTTCCCTTTCCCATTGCCCATGACACTCGTGTCCAGAAATCCCCTTCCTTGACCCCTCAGTCCCAAAGACCCTCCCAGTCCCTTTCAGTTTTCTCCCCTTCCCCATTTCTCCTGCCCCCACCCCTGCCCTGCTTCATTCCCTGGGTCCCCTCCACTGCCATCCCTTCCTCCTCACCCGCATCCCCCACAGTCCCATCCCTTCCACACCCCAATGCCCATCCTGTTGGATCCCCAATTCCCCCCACTTCACCCTCTTTGGGTCCCCTCCTCCTCCCCCCACCCTCCCTGCAGGCCCTGAATTCCCCTGGCTCTCCTTGTCTCCATTCCCACCCTGGGCCCTGCAGGAACAGGGATCCCGGGGGAAACTGGGTGCAGTGGGGCTGGGGGGAGCAGAAGGGATTTTCCTCCTCAGACCAGGGGCCAACCCTGGGCTAGGGGGTCTGGGGACACCCGTGTCTCTCCCCCAGCCCCACAGGGGCCAATCCTGCTTAAACCTTTGCTCTCCTTCCCCAGCCACTCCAGGGAATAGGAGTAGGTGGATGTATTTTGGTAAGTCCTCGAGTTGGGATGTCCCCAGTGTGGGAAACGGGGGGGAAATGTAGTCCCCCCATCCCTCCTGGGCCTGGGGACACCCCAGTGATCAGTGAAACCTCACACTCTCTCTACAGGGAGGCATCAGTGTCCATCGAGTGAAGAGGTCTAAGGTGGGTACCCCGAGTTCTGCTGGGCCCAGACCCTCCCCTCTCATGGCCACAACCCTCCCCAGAATCCCAGTGTGTCCCAGTCCAGCCCAGTGTGCCCCAGTCCAACCCAGTGTGCCCCAGTACATCCCAGTGTGCCCCAGGTCACCCCAGTGTGTCTCTAACCCTGCCTTTGTCCCCAGCCCCCCGTGGCTGACCAGGTGGAGCTGATGCGCCAGTGACGCTTGGCTGCCTCTCTGCATGTCCAGGTGAGAAATATGGGAGGCTCCTCAGCCCCCCAAAGGAGCCTGGCAGGGCCCTGGGGGGTCCCTGAGCCCTCTGCAGTGGGCAGAGCTTGGGGACAGCAGAGGGACACGCAGGGGGCTGTCCCTGCTCCGTGTCCCGGGGCAGCTGGACAGAGCTGCCCCCAAGCCTGGCCTTGCACTGGGGGCTCTGCAGACCCCCAGGCTCACCGGGAGGGCAGGGAGGGGCTCGGGGAGGTGTCAGAGCATCCCAGGCTCAGGGACTCTGGGGCCACATGGATCTCAGCATCCAATTCCCTTCTCCTGCCCCTGGTCCCTGCAGACAGACGGGGTGGGGACAAGGCCCCTGCCATGTCCCTGTGGACACCGGGGGTGACGTTTGGGGCTCTGTCTTTCAGGACTGGAAGTGGTGGTGACACCCGTGTCCTGGCCCCCTCCAGCGGCATGAGGAGATGATCATCCCTGGAGGACCCCCCTGATCCCCTGGGTGCCCTGGCAATTTCCCTGCAAGAATCAATAAACCCCTGCAGCAAAACAAATGCTCTGTGTCTGTCTGGGTGTGTGTGTTCCCACATCCACAGGTGCCTTCCTGTGTCCATGTGTGTTCCCACATCCCCTGGGGCACCCGGTGGTTTGGGGGCACAGCGGGAAACAGGGTCTGACTGGGGCTGTCCAAGCACCATCCCCAAGGAGCACAGCTTGGTGTCGGGGCAGGGGAGGGTCAGGGACAATCAGCCAAGGCCCCTCAGTCCTTCCCTGGGCTCTGGGAGGGATGGGAAAGGGGATCAAAGGAGCCAGCAGGTGTCAAATGCCCCCAGATCTCAAGGGCCAGGCTCGGGGCTGAAGGGATGGAGAGCAGCCCTGCATCCAAGGCCATGGGGATAGTGGGGGATGAAAAGCAGGATGGGAGCCAGCAATGGGAGCTCACAGCCCACAACCCCCCGTGTCCTGGGCTCATCCCACAGCGTGGGCAGCAGGGGAGGGGGGTTCTGCCCCTCTGCTCCGCTCAGCTGAGACCCCTCCTGCAGTGCTGCCTCCAGCTCTGGGCAGAGGGCTGGTTCGTGTCCCATTTGTCACCCACCAGCACCCCCAGAGCCCTCTCCCAGCAGGTTCTTCCATCCCTTCCTCCCCCAGCCTGCACCGATCCCGGGGGTTGCCCCGACCCGGCTGCACCACCTTGGTCTTGTCCAACCTCAGCAGATTCCCGTGTGTGCCGGGAAACAGGGGGAAGGGAAATTCACCTGACTCTTGGAGATTTGTTGGTCTGGTGGTGCCCCAGGGAAAACCAAAACCCTGTCAGTCCCATCTAGTCTGTCCCATATTCCACCCAGGAACCCTCCACCAAACAGATCCACCAGCTGGGGGGAATTCCAGGGCCCTTCTTCAGGGACTGATAGTCTTTCCGTGATTCTGTGCAGAGGGTGAGCAGTGGCCACCAGCAGAGCAGGGCCATACCCACAGTGCAGCCTGTGCCAAAGCACACACAGCATAGAGGGGCTCCTCCGCCAGAACCAACGGCAGTCGCCATCAAGACTCCAGGATGTGTCCTCGTTTTCTTCTGTTCCCCCTGCTGGCTTTGCTTCTCCCATTCCCCCATCCCAAGGCTGTCCCCTCTTCTTCCCTCTGCTTGCCTTTGGGACAGGCTTTCTTCCTGGGCCGGGAGTTAAGACTTCTCTCTTTGCCCTTGGTCTGAGTGCAAATCAGTCCAGCAGACATCTTCAAGGCTGAAAGAGAAGCCAGGCCTGAAGGCCGAGCCAGAGCTGTCCTCTGCTCCCTTCAGCTCTGCTCACAGCTGCATCTTCAGCCTGTCCCAGAGGCCAGGCAAATGTGTGCCCTTCCTCCGGGAAGGCTTGAAGCACAGTGGTGTTAAGATCATGGCCTCCAGGTGAGCTATTGCTGCTACTCAGTTGCCAGACTCTTGCAGTGCTTTCGAGCCCTCCTCTTTGTGTTCTGGGCAGAAGATAGTGAGTAAGCTCCTGGTAGCCTTAAAACACAGGCAAATCCCTGATCCCGTGGGAAGCAGATCAGTTTGTAGCCCATAAAGAAAAAGGGAAATTTCTTCAGCCTGTTTGTGGTCCATTGTAGTGTCCCTCTGCTGAGAAAGCTGGTGCAGAACCTCTGATCTTTCAGTTGGTGTTGTCATCAAGACAAAGTGGGACAAGATGTATTTGAAAGTTTCTTCCTGCCCTGCTGTGTGCTGCCCGTTGGCTGGTGGAGGAGCAGAGCAGAAATTCACTGTTGGCATCTGGCAAAGCAGCAGGAGAGAGCAATTGTGAGGGGGAGAGGGGTGAGGTGTCTGCTCTTCAAGAGGGACAAGACAAAGGAGTTGGGGAATTGTCCTGGAACTCTGGCATGGTGGGCTTGGAGCGCTGGATGGGCATTTCTTGAGAGCTGTGGTGGCCCCACTTCCTCCTGAGCCTCATTTGATGGCAGTGTGTCCAGAGGCAGCCCGGCTCCAGGCTGAAGCAAAAAGCCAGAGCGGGTGATGTGGGAGCTGCTCCAGCGCCTACCGCAGCCTGCGGCCCGGTGGGAGCGTCCCGGGCCCTGCCCCGGGGCGCCCTGAGGCGGGGCAGTGCCCACTCCCGCCGGCCGCCCTCACAAGGCCCAGGCCGCCTCCTTCCCACAAGGCCCAGCAGGGCCGCCCTCACACCTGCCCCGCCCTGCCCTGTCCCGCCCGGCCCCACCCTGCCCCGTGGCCTCTGTCACACCCCACGCTGACGTGCTGAGCCTTCCACCAGCCATTGTGACGCCACAGGCGCCAGTCGGGCACGGCTTTGTTGGTGCCCGCAGCCGGCGCTCAGAGCTGCTGGAGCCTCTCGGGGAGCAGCAGCACATCCCGCTCGGGGAGCATTGCGCGCCTGCATCGCCGTCTTGGCAGCTGCAGGCCACGACCACTGCGCAGGGCGACCTCGTCTGCCTTGTGCTTCATACCCTGTGCCCGTCCTTCTTCTCGTCCCCTTTGTCACCCTCCCCCTAAACCTCGCCCCGTCCCATTCCTCATCCCCACTTGGCTCCCGGCAGCCCGCCGGGGCCTTCTTGCCCTTCCTGCTGCTGGGAGCTCCAAGCAGGGCCATGCCGTGGCTTCTGAGCAAGAAGCGACGGCAGTCGCCCTCCAGCAGCCCCAGTGGGCAGCCCTGGGCTGCCACCAGCTCCAGCAGCGCCTCCCAGCTCCGGGAGCAGGGGCTGGGCAGGCTGCACCGCGCGGCCGCCCGCGGTGACCTGGGCTGGCTGAGGCGCTGGCGCTGGTACATCAAGGTAGTCGGCATCGACAGGCCAGACCAGGAGATGCGGTGAGTTCTGGGCCACGCTGATGGCACACCTTGGCTGCTCCTGAGCCAAGCGGCAGTAGTCCTCGGCAGCCCTCTCTTAGGAACAAGGCTTGAAAAGTGACATTTGCCCTGTCAGCTGGGACAGGGAACTCTTGAGCTTTTCACTGCTCGGAGCTGCCGGCCGGGCTCCAGCGCTGCTGCAAACGCGTGTTGCCCACCTGCCCCTTGGCCGTGCTCTCTCTGCAGGGCTGTTCTGCAGCTGCTCAGCCCTCACCTGTTCTCTTCTGCCCTCTGGCTCATCAGGGCAGGGTTGCAGCAGCAGCAGCAGCAGCAGGAGGAGCAGCAGCAGCAGAGTCCGGGCAGGGTCCCCAGGGTGCTGGGTACAGACACAGCTTGGGCTCGTCCTTTGTCTGTCTGGGTTAAGAGTGTCTGTTTAATTTTTAGGACACCTCTGCATCTGGCTTCAGCCAATGGCCATGCAGATGTCGTCAGATATCTGCTAAGAAAGAACAGCCAGCCCAACCTCGCTGACAGCTTCAAGAGAACGGCCCTGATGAAGGTGTGTGGAATGCCTTCTGAGCTTGGAGGTGGGGCTCAGTGCTGGGGTGTTAAAGGGGAGGTGTCTGGCAGGATTCCTTGCAGGGCAGGGCCATAGAAACACGCCTATTGCAATGGGCAGGGCACAGCCTCTGTTAGCTGATCTTTGAAGGTGGTCTTCTATGGCAGCACTCAGGAGCTGAGGGAGTTGTGACAGAGGGGGATGGAAAAGTTGGAAGCCTTTCCCTTTTGGTGTGTTGTTGCCAGGCAGTGCAGCAGGAGCAGGAAGAATGTGTTGCTGTTCTGCTGGAACACGGTGCCGACCCCAATCTGGCAGACGCTGACGGCAACACTGCCCTTCACCTGGCTGTGCTCTCTAAAAACACAGCTGTAGCAGGGCTGTTACTGGAGCATCATGCCAACAGTGATGCTCAGAACCAGGTAACCTTGGCACGGGGCTAAAGCTGCTCTTTCCAAGAGCTGCAGAGCTTGTCTGTGTCTTTCTAATGGGGATTCTTGCTCCTTTTAGTGGGGATTTACCCCCTTGAAACTTGCAGCCTTGCAACAGCACGAGGAGATTCTGGAGTGCCTTGTGAACAAAGCAGCTGACAGGCCTGCTCAAGCCCAGGGGGAAAGGTGAGGGCTTTGTCAAAACAGCCCCCGGGTGTTCTGGGTAGTCTGCAAGTGTGACCCAGACGAGGGGCGTGGCAATGAGCTGGGCAAAAGAAGGAGCAGCCCCGTGGAAGCAGTTCCCCGTGGGACTGGTAAATGCAGGTCTGCCCTTGGCTGCTCTCATACCTCAGGGGCTCTCGTCCTTTGCCCGCTGAGGTCTGCAAGAAAGCCTTGTCTGTGGTGCCCTCTCCCCACCCAGAGCCAGAGCCCCGGGGAAACTTGCCAGTAGCTCAGCAGCGTGGCTGCTCTGCAGGCCAGGGGGGTTTAAGGCACGGCAGAGTTGGGGCGTGAAGTGCTCTGAAGGGAAGCGTTGGGGGAAAGAGAACCAACACTGTCCCAGGGGACACGAGGGGCTCCGAGCACAGAAGGAGAAAACTTCCTGCCATGGAGATGGTCAGGGGGTCGAAGGGCTTGCCCTGGGAGTTTGTGCAGCCACATCTGGGGGGACTTTGAAGAGCAGTGCAAGGACCCTGAACAGCATGGCCTGAGCTGGTAGTTGAGGCTGCTTTAGGGAGGCCCCTTGTAAGAGAAATTCTCCAATGCTTCCATGGACTTGGCTTTGCTTTCCCGGAGCTTGTAGGAAAGGGGGAAGAGCTGTTTTGGGAGCAAGCAGGGGAAAACTGATGCAGGGTCAGACATGTTTCTGATGAAATTTTGCATGCTTTAGGAGTGCTCTTGTGGTTCCTGGAAGCCATGGGGCTCACCTGGAGGAAGATAATCTGCGCTTGCAGGAGGTGCTGGACAGGGCTGGCGCGGAGGTATGGAAAGCCTGTCCCCACAGGGAGAAACCTGGGGGTGCCTGTTGCTTCCTCTCCATCATGAAAACAGACAAACCAGTGTTCACTGTGTTCATTGGGGAGCAGAAGTGAAGCTTTGAAGGGACTTGAATGGACTGCAGTTCTTTGGGCAGAGGGGGTGCACACAGACATGCAGCACCTGAGTTCTTCAGCAGCAGCTGGCTCCTCTCTGGAAAAGCTCCCCTGACAACTGTGGATTCTTCCCATGGTTTTACAGCTGCAGGAGGAGGAAGAAAAGCATCTTCAGTCTGAGCATTGTGTTCCTGACTTGAAGACTGCCTTGGATGCCAAGAAAAGAGAGGCAGTAACTTCTTCCCAGAAACTGCAGGACCTCCTGTTGGCATCTTGCGAGACCAATCCGACTGTGAACCAACTGGAAGAAGACGCGCAAGAGTAAGAGAGTAACCCAGTGAAGCGAGGGGTCTGTGGCTTTGGGGGATTGGGTGGAAACAGGGGGAGAGTCAGTGGGATTTTGAAGGACACTTCTACTGTGGCTTCTGTTCCTTAGCACAGTTTGTCTGGCATTGGGTTTTCTGGTAATAAGAGCTGTATTTCTTCTTAAGCTTTGCAAGTGAGAACAGCAGATTGGAAGCCACTGTCCAGCAGCCAAGCGAGAGCGTTGAAGCCCTTCCGAGAGCCCTGCAAGCCTCTGCCTCAGTAAGCTGGTGCTAAGTTTGCCTTTTTGTGACTCTTGAGCCTAGTTGCCTATTTCTGTGGGGCAACTGTCAGATGAAGTTTTCCTGGAGAGCCTGGGGAGCTCAGTTTCTGCCTTCTCCTCAGCAGAGGCTGCTCAGAAAGCAGCCTGGTCCTTTCCCCAGCTGCTACAAAAGCCCTGAGGGTATTTGGTGTGCTGGACACTGGAGGAATTCTTAGATTCTAAATGAGGAGTTTCATCATGAGCTCCAAGGGACCCAGAAGTATTGTTGCCAGAAGTGTCTCCCAAATTCTTAAGTAGGTGTAAAGTTTCTTCTTTCTGTCGGGGAATCTTTCAAGTGTTTCCTAGGCTGGTTTCCAGTAGATGATAAATACAGTTGCCATGGCCACCCCCTTGAGAGGTTTTCCCAGAATTCACTGCCTTTAGATCACGCTGAGTTTTCTTTTCTTTTTTTTCTCTGTGCACAGGATGGTGAACTTTCCCAGCAGCTGGACATGGAGCCTGGAACAGGCATGCAGCTCGAGGCCCTAAACCAGGCTTTGCAAGAAGAGCTGTCCACTCTGCTTGGGAAGTGTGAAACACTGGAGAAGAGCAAATGTCAGCTGCAAGAAGAGGTGACAAAACTCCACCACCATTTGGAGACTTTGGTGCTGGATGGCAGCCAAAGAGAACAGTGTACAGGAGAGGTGGAAGAAGGAGCTGCCCAGGAAAGAAGTGCAAAGCTACAAGAGGTCAGCCTCGTTTTGCAAGTAAGTGAATTTCTCCCCAGTGTCCACAGGCTCTTCATTAGGAGCTTTGAAGCAGAGTGCTCATTTGGGCTTCTTTCCCACTGCAAAGAATTGTTTGCCCTGGCAGCTCCTGGGTTCTGCCTTGATTGCTGCTGGGAGTGAGGAGGCAGAGCTGCCTCTCTGAGTCAGGCTGGGCCCTTGAAAGTGGGTGTGTGCAATTTTGTGCTGGGCAGAGCTCTCTTTTTCTTGTGGTGGTTGAAGGTGCACTGTCTCCTTCAGGCACAGGCAGCCCACCAGGCCCCACTAGGACAAACCAGAGACCATCATTGTGATTCCATGAGAATCCAGTTGGAAGAAAGAATTAGAAATCTGGAAAGTGAATTGGAGAGGGTAAAAAACACCCAACAAGAGAGAGCTTCTCGTAAAAAAGCAACTCAGGGAGAGATGGAAAGGTACAAAGAGCTGTATCTGGAGGAAGTGAAAACCAGAAGATGCCTTGCCAAGAAACTGGAAAGGTAAGTCCGTGCTTGTTTGGAGAGGTAATAAGAGACTCCTTTTTCTTCCTGCATTTTCCTTGGGAATCCATCTTCTACATCTGGCCAGCATTATTGCCCTCCATTGGCCAACAGGGTCTGATGGAGTTGCCAAGACCCTCTCCTTGATATTTGAAAAGTCGTGGCAGTCAGGGGAAGTCCCAGGTGAGGGGAAAAAGGGAAACCCACTGTGCCCATCTTTGAAAGGGGTAGAAAGGAGGGCCCTGGGAACTGCCAACCTGTCAGCCTGCCCTCTGTGCCTGGGGAGGTGATGGAAAAGATCCTTCTAGAAGCTCTGTCAAGGCACATGGATGACAGGGAGGTGATTGGAAGCACCAGCACAGCTTCGCCAAGGGCAAGTGCTGCTTGACCGACCTGGTGGCCTTCTAGGATGGAGTGACTGCCTCAGTGGACAAGGGCTACCCATGTCATCTCCCTGTCATTCTGGAAAGCCTTTGACACAGTCCCCCACAACATCCTTCTCTCCAAAGTGGAGAGAGAAGGATTCAATGTGTGGACTGTTAGATGGATAAGAAATTGGGTGAACAGTGCCATGCAGAGGTGGTGATCAATGGCTCAGAGTGCTGAGGGCCATCAGTGCCGAGTGGTGTCCCTGAGGGGTCTGGATTGGGTCCAGTGTTCTTTAATGTCTTCACTAATGATCCAGAGGAAGGGCTGGAGTGTGCCCTCAGCAAATTTGCAGCTGACACCAAGCTGAGGGGTGTGGTTGACACAGCTGATGCCACCCAGAGGGCCCTGGACCAGCTGGAGAAGTGGGTCCATGGCAATCTGCTGATGGTTTAACCAGAGCCAGTGCAAGCTGCTGGCCGTGGCTCAGGGCAGCCCCTGTATCAGTGCAGGCTGGGGGATGAAGAGGGGCAGAGCAGCCCTGCCGAGAAGCCCTTGGGCTGGAGGAGAGGCCGGACATGAGCCGGCGATGTGCGCTCGCAGCCCAGAGAGCCAATTGTGTCCTGGGCTGCGTCCAAGGCAGCGTGGCCAGCGGGTGGAGGGAGGGCATTCTGCCTCTCTGCTCTGCCCTTGGGAGAGCCCAGCTGGAGGGCTGCATCCAGCTCTGGGCTCCTCAGCACAGCAAGGACCTCCAGCTGTTGGACTGAGTCCAGAGGAGGCCACCAAGGTGCTTGGAAAGATGGAGCACCTCTGCTAGGAGGAAAGGCTGGGACAATTGCAACCCTTCAGCCTGGAAAAGAGGAGGCCTTGGGGTGACCTAATTGTGGCCTTTTGGGGTGTGAAGGGAGCCCACAAGAAGGATGAAGAGAGTGCATTTAAAAGGGCAGGTAGTGAGAGGACAAGGGGGAATGGCTTCAAACAGAAAGAGAGTAGGTTTAGATTTGATCCTGGGAAGAAATTGGTTGCTGTGAGGGTGGTGAGGAACTGCAACCGGTTGCCCAGAAAAGCTGTGGATGCCCCATGGCTGGAAGTGTTCAAGGCCAGGTTGGATGGGGTTGTGAACAAGCTGGTCTGGTGGAAGGTGTCCCTGCCCACAGCAGGAAGCTTGGAACTGGATGATCTTTAAGGTCCCTGCCAAGCCAAGCCATTCTAGGCTTGGATGCTGTCTGTGCTGTTTCTGTGAGACCGTGGGGGAAAGGCTGGTTCTTCCTGTGTTTCATGGTTTTCTTCACTAATTTGCTGTGCAGGCTGGAAAAGCTTCTGAGGATAGAGAGCAGGAAACTCCGGGTTAATGAAGAGAAAGGAAGTCAGTCCCAGCTGGAAGAAATGAAGAAGAGATATTCTGAAAAGGTCAAGGAAGTTGATAGATTCCAAAAAGAGGTGAGCTGCGCTCTGGGTGGGGCTCTTTGGTTGTGGTGTTCCTTCTTTTGAAAGCTGGGAGATGCTTTCCCTCTATTTCTTGTCATGTGGATGTTTTTATTCCCTTGGCTGCATTTTGGATGTGATGGGCTTTTCTTAATGCTCCTCCTGCTGTTCCAGTGGGAGATGACTCGAACTAATCCGGGGTAGTTCTCCTTCTGGGGAAAGATGCAAATGTTGAGGGCAAAGCAGTAGGTGTAAGGGCTGATGGAGGCCAGGCTGTCCTGCAGAGGAGGGGCAAGCCAGGAGTGGCAGCCAGCCTGGCAGGGTGCGTGAGCTCCCGGGCCAGGGAGCCGTCCCACAGGCCCTGAGCAAGAAGAGCAGAACAGGTCCCGTGAGAGTGAGCGGGGTCAGCCAAGAGTGCAGATCCCCCGGCTGGGCCTGAGGGATGGGCAGGTCTGCCGTCCTGGCAGGACATCACGTGCATGGGCTGAGAGCAGTGGGGCCCAGCTCAGGCCTGGCTGCAGCTGGAGGGAGGCTGTGACAGCGTCCTCTGGGTGTGCCAGATGAATTGCTGCCCTGGCAGAGAGGGGAGGAACAGCGCTGTCACTGGCAGGGCACCATCAGCCCCTGAGCCCTGTCTCAGGCACGAGCTGAGCAGGAGGCCCTTGAGGTTTGGCTTTTCTGCACAGTGTTGTTGCTGCCCAGGGCCCAAGGAGGACAGGGGCCTCCCAGGGGAAAATCTGTCCCTTCTTGCTCACGGGGAGCTGTTTCAGCCCATCCTGTGGCGGGGAGCCAGAAGGGCTGTTCCCAGCAGTGCTTTTGAGGCTGCTGTGCCTGTGCAGCAGTGGCACAGAACCTCTCATCCCTTCTCCGCTCGTCACTCGGATCCGTTGCTGAAGCGGCGTCTGTCAGAGCCACGCTTGGGTTTGAAGGCATCCCTGTAGAATGGCTTCCTGCCTTTGCAGTCATTCCTTTGGAGTCCAGAAGCGTGGAGCATTTTTGCATGAGGAACTCCAAAAGGCTGGGAAGCTGAGGAATCCTATGAGAAATGATGGGAAAGCTGTTCTTGCTGGAAAAGAAAAGCCTGGTTGCACTTTGTGTCTAGTCCTGAGCCAGCAGATGATGAATAAAGTCTCCCTGGTCACCCCCTTTTGGGGTTTGCCCAGAATTCACTGCCTTTACACCACGCTGAGCTCCTTTTTTTATTTTCTGTCTGCAGGTTGCTGAACTTTCCCAGCAGTTGGACAGGGAACGTGAACAGTGCACGCAGCTGGAGGCCAAAAATCAGGCTTTGCAAGAAGAGCTGTCTGCCCTGCGTGGGGAGTGCGAGAACCTGGCCATGGACAAATGCCAGCTGCAAGAAGAGCTGGCAAAACTCCACCATCATTTGGAGACCAACGTGGTGGATCGCAGCCAACTCGAACAGTGTAAAAGAGAGGTGGAAGAACGAGCAGACCAGGAAATAAGACAAAAACTCCAAGAAGTCAATGAGTTTTTGCAAGTAAGTGAATTTCTCCCCAGTGTCCACAGGTGCTACGTAAACTTCTCTTGTGGCCATGGTGTTTGGGCTTTTTCTTTTGCTCCTGTGTTCTGTGGGTTAGCTTCTGTCTTTGCTGAAGGCAGTGGCAGAAGGCAATCTGGTTGGGCAGGAGTGCTGTCATGGGTGTGGAATGTGCCGGCAGGTCCCTGAATGCAAAGGCTGCCCAAGGCAGATTCCCACTTTGCAGTGCTTGGGGGGATCTCTGTGCGCTGCTCTGCTTCTCACTGCTCATCCTTGGATGGGTTTGGCAACTTGCAGCTGTCATGGCCAGACCTACAGGTGCTGCTTTGTCCTTGTAGGGGGTGAAAGTGCTCAGAAAAGGAGTCACTGAAATTACAGGGATGGGAGGAAGAGGGTGGAGGTGGAGGTGGAAGCTCTTCTTGTCTTTGAAGAATCCTTTTGGACATGCCCTGTCCTACAGACCCAGTGTCTCTTCATTAGTAGCTTTGAAGCAGAGTGCTCATTTGGGCTTCTTTCCCACTGCAAAGAATTGTTTGCCCTGGCAGCTCCTGGGTTCTGCCTTGGTTGCTGCTGGGAGTGAGGAGGCAGAGCCGCCTCTCTGAGTCAGGCTGGGCCCTTGAAAGTGGGTGTGTGCAATTTTGTGCTGGGCAGAGCTCTCTTTTTCTTGTGGTGGTTGAAGGTGCACTGTCTCCTTCAGGCACAGGCAGCCCACCAGGACACCTTAGAAGAAATCAGAACCAGTCATGTGGACTCACTGAAAAAACAGTTAGAAGACAGAATTAGAGATCTGGAACGTGCACTGGGAAGGACAAAAAGCAACCAAGCAGAAAGACCTTTTCCAAAAGAATCCACCCAGGCAGAAGTGGACAAGTACAAAGAGCTGTATCTGGTGGAAGCCAAAACCAGAAAAAGCCTCACCAAGAAACTGGAAAGGTAAGTCCCTGCTTTTTTGGACTGGTAAGAACAGACTCCTTTTTCCTCCTGCATTTTCCTTGGAAATCCCTTTTCTGTATCTGGCCAGCGTCAGGTGTGAAAGCAGAACATGGCATCTTTGTGGGGAACGTTCCTTCAGACCCTTCCCTTCCTCAGACCTGTCTTCCTTTCTCTTTAGAGTTCCAGCAGTAACCCCACAGCAGCACCACTCTGGCATTATTGGTGTCTTTTCAAGTTGAGGTTGTTTTAGCAGGCAGCCTTTTTGCCAGTCTCTCCTCTCCTCATCCCGTGGGTGACAGAAAAGCTGAATCTTGTGCCCTTTCCTGTTTGAATAAGGAGAGGCCTCTGGGAGAAGAGAGTTGGATTCTGTGAATCCAAAATAAGGCAGCTCTGTCTTGGCTTCTGTTTTGGCAGCGGGTCTGAGGGTTGAGCTTTCCTTGAGAAGGCCAGGGTAGGCCAGAGTTCTTCTGGAGGTGCCACTGGCTGCTCCTTGCACTTGGTGTGATTTCTTAGAAACAGGCCCTGTGAACAAGCTCAGATCAAAGGATGTGCTGGGTTTGGATGCTCTTCATGCCCTTGGCTTTTAGAAGTCGAGTAGTAGCCAAGGCTGTGGAGGGTAACTTTGCAAAAGCCTTCCTGCCAAAGATGACTCTGTGTGTGCTTGTGAATGTTTCAGAGCTACTGAGAGACTTGCAGTGGCCAACACCAAGCTCTTTTTGGAGTGCCACAGAAGCAGATCTGCAGTCCCAAGCAGCGCTGTCAGCGGACTTCTGGCTGCAAGTCCACTTCTGGATTCACCTGGCCTGGGACATGTTGGCCTCAGTTTGGGACTGAGCAGAAGTCTGGCTCTCAGAACACCACCCAGACACCTGTGGTAAAGCCCAAGACTTCTGCTCATCAGGTTGGTACAGATTTTCCAGAGTGGTCAAAGGCCAAAAAAGGTTGAAATGGAAGCAATGAGCTGTGGAACTCCATTCTTTTCCAAGAGAAACTGTGGGCAAGAGCTCTGTGGCACAGGAACCTCCCACCTAAGTTCTACCCTAAATTTACACGTAGTAATCTTCTGTAGTCTGTGGGGTTTGGCAGGAAGCCAACTCCAACCGGCTACAGATGGTTTTGGTGTCAGAAGTGGGATTGTTTTGGTTCCTTTGGTTTTGTTGTGGGAACATTGTCTGGGAAAGCTGCCAAGAGCAGGTTTGTTTTGTCAACATCCCCCATTGTTTTGGGACACTCCTGGGAGAGCTGCCAAGAAGGATTTTGTTTATCTAAACATAGCTTTGTTTAGGAAGAAGGAGAAAGAAAAATAATAACAATGGCCTTTTTACTAATTTTTTTCCTGATTCTTGCTGGTTTTGTGCCTGTCCTAGGACATCCTGTAAGGGACCGTTCAGATGGATGGAACAAATTGCTTCCTTTCCTTAATTTCAACATCCACGGCCTAGTAGCCACTTTCCTTAATGGTGGCCTTCAAGGTTTGGTAGCAAAGACTCCAAGATCAGCTCTAACCCATCCCTACATTGCTCAGCGACAATGATCCTAGTGGTGAAGGCAGCGAAACTGCTACTTAAAATTGGAGAGGTGGTGCTGCATTGGTCCCCTTGTTGTACGAAAGGAATCGCTGGAGCTTTGGGGACAAGAAGTGCCAACGGCCACGACAACTGTACACAGGCAACAGTATCGGAGGAACCGAGATGCTGTGACCCCCATCCATCCATCCAGTACATCCATGACATCATTGTGGGGGGGACACAGCAGAAGAAGTTTTCGAGAAAGGACAGAAGATCATCCAGATTCTCCTCGAGGCTGGTTTTGCCATTAAGAAGAGTAAGGTCAAGGGCCCTGCCCAAGAGATCCAGTTCCTAGGGCTGAAATGGCAAATGGACGACACCAGATACCAACAGACGTCCTCAACAAGATTGTAGCAATGGCTCCACCCACAAACAAGAAAGAAACCCAAGCTTTTCTGGGAGCCATTGGCTTCTGGAGGATGCACATCCCAGAGTACAGCCAGATGGTGAGCCCTCTTTACTTTGTGCCCCGTAAAAAGAACAATTTCCAGTGGGGTCCTGAACAACAACAAGCTTTCAGGCAGATCAAGCAAGAGATTGCACATGCCGTGGCTCTTGGAGCAGTCAGGACAGGACCAGAGGTAAAGAATGTGCTCTACTCTGCAGCTGGAGATAAAGGTCCCTCCTGGAGCCTCTGGCCAAAGGTGCCTGGTGAGACGTGAGGGCGACCACTGGGTTTCTGGAGCCGAAGCTACAGAGGTTCTGAGGCCAATTCCACCCCTGTGGAGAAGGAAATCTTAGCAGCCTATGAAGGCATACAAGCAGCTGCAGAGGTAATTGGTCCCAAAGCCCAGCTCTTCCTGGCACCCCAGATGGGACCCCAGCATGCAAAGTGTAACTGGATAAGGGAAAAAGGGGGTAGGGTTTATCCATTTTAGGGAAAGGGTGGCCAAAAAAGGAAATACTGCAATGCAACAAACTTTGGCCAATCGGGGAGCAGGGTCTAAGGATACAGACATCAAGGGGATTTTTCATCAAACAATTTCAGGGGACAAACAAGGGAAAAACTACAGTAAATGTTTAGACACAACCGTAAAACTGGAAAGGCTTTGGGTCTGAACTTCCTGAAAACTTCATCCAGGGCTTTCATCCTCTGGAGGGTCACACATTTCTTGTTGTCTTCTCCAGCTTTCAGATTCAGCAATGTCCTCACTCCCGACAGACCAGGGTCCCCTTTCCAGAGTAATGGAGGAGCACCGTGATTTTTTAATCCAAAATTCCCGGATTGGAATGAAATGCTCTGGAAAGGCTCTGGAAATCATTCGGGGTTCACAGTGAGTCTCTGGTTTCCCATCCCCTGCTTCAGATGTGAAAACATGTTCCTTGCAGTCGGAATGTAAACTCATCAGCTCCATTAAACTTGAGCACTATATCCCATCATCCAGATCATCAAGGAAGATGTTCACCAGGAATTGCTGATCACTGGCCTCCAGCTGGATGTTGCACTCCTGATCACCACCCTGGCCAGCAGATTTCAACCAGCCTGCTGTCTGCTCATCCAGCCCATACTTCATGGGCTTCTCTGTGAGGGAGCCCTGTCTGTGTCCACTAGAACACACCTTCATTTTGATTTTAAACAATCAAACAGAAGTGATTGTTTTAACAGCAGAATTATTTTTCAAAGGGAAATAGAAGGGTAAGAGTTTTTAATTTTAATGATCATGTTTTACATGATGCTAATTGACCTCTAGTAGAAATGAGAGAGCACCTTAAGAGACAAATCTACATTCTCTATTTATGCCTCTGAATTACAGGTATGGCTTTGATGGAACGAGTGCCTTCAAGCTCCACTGGCAGGCACTGTTTGAAAACTATTTGGGTGATTTTTGATAAGAAATGAAAGATGCAACGACAGGAAGCCATTCAGCAATCCCTGACAAGGGAGGTCCACTGTCAATTGCTGGGAGGGCCCCCACCTGTTTCTTTTAATGGTGCTCCCAAATCCCACCCCTTGGGCCTCCCATCCCATCCTTTTTGGTCCCCTCAGGCATCTCCTCCCCAGCATCTGCTCTGTGTCCTACCCAGGGTCCCCAAATATCCTCCCACTGATCATTCCCAAAGCTTTTCTTTCCATCCTTCCCCTCAGACCTTTGCCTTTCACCCAGGCCACTGCCCTGGTACCTCCCAAGACCATTCCTTGCCTCCCTCTCCACTCCCAACCATCTCCCAGTGCCCTCGTTTTTGTCCTCCTCCATCATCCTCCTCCTGTCCCCACCAAGCCTCTCCCTTGCAGTCCCCATGTCCCCACACTTGAATTCCTTTCCCCTCCCCTGCATCCCACACAGGGCCCCTTCAACACCCCAATCCCAGTCCCGTGGGCTCCCCAGTTCCCCCCAGTTCAGCATCTTTGGGTCCCCCCCAACCTCCTCCCCCCCTCCCTGCAGGCCCTGAATTCCCCTGGCTCTCCTTGTCTCCATCCCCACCCTGGGCCCTGCAGGCACAGGGGTTGGAGGTGAAACTGGGGGCAGTGGGAGCAGGGGGAGCAGAAGGGATTTTCCCCCTCAGACGGGGGCAGCCCTGGGCTGGGGGGCTGGGGACCCCCGTGTCCCTCCCCCAGCCCCACAGGGGCCAATCCTGCTTAACCCTTTGCTCTCCTTGCCCAGGCACTCTTGGCAGGAACCCAAAATGATCTGTGGGATGTGAGTGGGCCGGGGGGACTGGAGGGCATCCAGTCTGGGAACTGGGGGACACTTTGGTCCCCCCATCCCTCGCTGGCACCGGGGACATCCCAGTGACCAGCCAGGGCTCCTGGTCTCTCTCCAGCTGCATTTAGTGGACGTTGGGATCCTGAAGATGGCTCAGGTGGGTACCAGGAGTTCTGCCTGAGTCGGGTCCTCCCCTCACATGGCCATGACACTTCTGGCCATCCCAGTCTGCCCCAGTATACCCCAGTGCACCTTCCCCAAGGATCCCATTTCTTCCCCCAGGCTCCCAATACATCCCACTGCACCCAGTGTGTCTCTGAGCCTGTCTTTGTCCCCAGCCCCCTGTGGTGGAGAAGGTGGTGGGTCTTGTTGGTGAGATGTGGCTGCATCCCTGGATGTCTGAGGTGAGCAGTGCCTGCAGGGAGAGGGGTCAGGACAAGGCCCCTCTCATGTTGCAGTGGACTTTGGGGGTGACGTTTGGGGCTCTGTCTTTCAGGCCTGGTGGTGACACCCGTGCCCTGTCCCCCTCCAGTGGCATGAGGAGATGATCATCCCTGGAAGAACCTCCTGATTTCCCTCAGAGCCCAGGGGCATTTCCCCAGAATGATCAATAAATCCCTTCAGCAAAGCTACTCTGCTTGATCTTGTGTGTGTGTTCCCAACTCCGTGTGTGTGTTCCCATCTCCATGTGTGTTCCCATCTCCATGGGTGTGTTCCCATCTCCATGTGTGTGTTCCCATCTCCGTGCCTGCATTCCCATGTCCCTGTCCCCTCCTTCTCCAGCCCCTGCACACCCGGTGCCTCTCTGGCCGCTCCCCTGCCATGAGCAGAGAGGCTCAGGGGGCTCCTGGGGGTCTCTGCACACGAGATCCCCTTCACCCCCTCCATGTGCATCCTGAGCAGTGCAGGTTGGGGCATCGTGGAAAGTCCCTGCTGGGGGCTGGGACAGGCAGGGGGCACACGGGGCAGCCCCTGGAGCACCTGGACCTCCCCTGTGCTCTGGGAGGGATGGGAAAGGGGATCAAAGGAGCCAGCGGGTGTCAAATGCCCCCAGATCTCAAGGGCCAGGCTCGGGGCTGAAGGGATGGAGAGCAGCCCTGCATCCAAGGCCATGGGGATAGTGGGGGATGAAAAGCAGGATGGGAGCCAGCAATGGGAGCTCACAGCCCACAACCCCCCGTGTCCTGGGCTCATCCCACAGCGTGGGCAGCAGGGGAGGGGGGTTCTGCCCCTCTGCTCCTGCTCAGCTGAGACCCCCCTGCAGTGCTGCCTCCAGCTCTGGGGCTGCCTCAGGGTGTGGTTTTCTGTTGAGGAGGAAAAGGCAGGACTGAGTCAGGTCAGACTCTATTAGCAAAACGTGTCTCTTTTTAGGAAGACCTCTCTGCATCCCCCTCCCCTGAGCTCTGGGTTTTGCTGGCTGATGGGGGCTTTGAGAGCAGGGACCCTGTGACAGGCTCCCGAGGAATCCTCCTTGCTGTGAGAGGCAGCTCGGAACACGGGGTGATCCGAGATTAAATGTGCCTGTGACACATCAAAGCGTTTCCAGCCCTGCTGTTCACAGTTTGCCCAACTGCAGAGCAGAGCTGAGGGGATTTGCTGTAGTTTTGTTACAGTTTCACTTGGCACATTTAGAAGTAAATTTGGATGGGTGAAATCCCTGACATTTCTGATGTTCTCCAAGTGAAATCTCGTGGGTCCTGGGAGGCAAAGGGATGGTCTCAGTGCAGAGAGAAGAACTACGCTGGCCATCACTCCTGTTCTCAGCCGCCCCTCGCTGGCAGCTTGGAGCTGAGGGAGGATCACACTAAGGAGCTCCCTTAAAAAGAGACAGGGCCTTTCTGGGAGCAGAGGAATCTGGGCTCAAAGGGCAGATTTACAGACTCCTTGTCTTTTCTCAGGGTGCCTGATTAGGATCTCCTCTTTCTTCTCCCAGACTGCTGCACAGAGGGATCATTGCAGCTGCCCAGAGCATTTCTATGGCTCTACCACCGAGGTGTCCTCTCCATGGGGATCCCAGACAGCACAGAGATACTATGGCAGAGCTGTGCCCTTCTGGAGGACACCCTGCAGGACACCCAGGGAAGCAGCTGAATGTCCTGAAGTTGCCTGGAGGGCACTTGGGCATTTTGCTCCCACAGACACATCCCCACAGCAGCACCCAAAGGGTTTGTGTCTGGACAGGAACCTGCCACCCCAAAGCCCCTGCACTGCCTGAGAAAAGCCAATGGTGAGAAGAAGAACAGCCCAGCCAACAGGGGATGGCAGGGAAATGCCACAATGCGGCTGCCAAGGGAGGAGGGACACACAGAGAGAGATGGAAATGGGGGCCTTGTCCTTGCCTGGGCTCTGGCTGCCGCAGGGCAATGCACAGCCCAGGGGCCATGGCCTGAGGGCACAGGCTCTGCTTAGGCTGGGAAAGGAGCCCAGGGAGGAGCTGCTCAGGGAAGGGGTCTGTGCCACAGGGACAGCAGGGAGGGGCCCACATCCCCCTGCCCAGCACTTGTGGCAGCAGCTCCCTGTCCCTGCCTGCCTCTCTCTGGGTGAGGAGCTGTTCCTGCCAGCAGCCCCTCCCTGTGCCCAGCTCAGCTCCCTGCCAGTGCTGCCAGAGCCATCCCCAGCCCAGTGCCCAGGGGCAGCTCTGCCTGGGCAGGGGCTGCAGAGCAGATCCCAGAGCCCTGCGGTGGCTGGGAAGGGGGAGGTGTTCTGGGGGGATGTGCTTCCTGAGAAGGGCCCCTGGAAATGGCAGGAGGTGGAGCTGAAGCTGTGAGGAGCCCTGACCCTGCAGCTGAAGGGCCCTGCCCAGCCCTGCCCAGCCCTGAGGGGTCACTCCTTCCACCCACCCCTTCTCCCCCAGCCCCGTGGCAGCTCCTTGGCCGGGCTGAGAGCTGACCCTGGCAGGCAGCAGAGTCCCTGCCCCAGCACACAGAGCCCTGGGGGCAG